TTGGAACTAAATTCACTCTTTTTAATAATGGTAAGACATATGCCATTTTAACCCTTAAGGTCATTTCAGGATCTTTTCCTCAGGGGTAACACAGGCTTGGGAGGAGTACCTGGCTCCGTTCTTTTACCAGTTCCCTCTATGTGAGGATAAGTCAAAGATCCTACTCAATCATGGCTGGCTTCGCTTAGAAGCATGGAAGAAATGATTCCTCTGTGTTGACCCTCCTCTTTGTAGACTGGATACTGGTTCAGGTCCATCTGGTGGATGTGTATGCATGCATTGCCTGCATGTAGGTAAGTGCACCCGTGTAATGCAATGCCGGCAGAGGACAGAAGAGGCTGTGGGATCCCCTGGAGCTGGAGTTATGGACAGTTGTTAGCTGCCATGTGGGTGCTGGGATTCAAAACCAGGTCTTCTGCAAGAACATTCAGTGTTCTTAACCGCTGAGCCATCTCTCCAGCCCCTTTATTTTTTTTTAATATTTAACCTATTTTTATGTGTATGAGTGTATTGCCTGCATGTATGTAATGCACTCATGTCATGCAATGCCAGCAGAGGCCAGAAGAGAGGGAACATATGGCTGCTGTGGATCAAACCTGAATCCTCTAGAATAGCCTGTGCTCTTAAGTGCTAAGCTATCTCTCTAGTCCCCTTTTTAGTTTTTTGAGATGAAGTCTCATGTAGTTAAAACTAGCCTTGAATTCCTGACCCTCTTGCCTCAGCTTCCCAAGCGCTGGAATTTTAGATGTGAGCCATCACACCCAGAACAATGCAACATTTCTTTTTGATACTGAATTAAAAAAATTTTAAATTTATTTTATGTGTATGACTGTTTTGCCTGCATGTAGGTTCAACCATGTGTGCAATGCCTGTGGAACCCATAAGAGGGCGTTGCATCCCCTAGAACTGGAGTTTCAGAGGGTTGTTAGCTGCCATGTGGGTGCTAGGTCCCAAAGCTGAGTCCTCTGCAAGAGTGTCCATTTCTCTTAAGCACTGAGCCACCTCTCCAGCCTTTACTGTCAATTTTTTTCAAAATAAAAAGTTTACCGAAGAAAGTAGATAAAGGAGGGCTGGTGTCATGGCTCAGCAGATTAAAGAGCTTGCTGTACAAGCCTGGCAACCTGAGTTTGATCCCCTAACCCACATAAAGGTAGAAGAGAATCAACTCCACAAACTTGTCCTTTGACCTCCATGTGCACACCTACACACATCATGCACACACACACACACGCACACACATATACATATATATAAATTTTAATTTAAAAATATGATGGGAAGTTCTGTAGAGATGAGGGGTGCTGTCTAGGATTGCTTCTACTGTAGGGGTCTCAGGTACTGGTAGGTTTATTGTCCTAGAGGTAGAAGGTTAACCAAGTTAACAAACTATCTTAAGTAGGTTTGCTTTCACATCTTGATTATATCAGCACCTCTCTGTTGATGTAACTCCTTCCTAAGGATCTCAGTATTTTAGTTTTGGTTGTTAGTTAGCCTTAGCCTTTAATGGCTGCGCTATCCCTCCAGCCCAGATCTCAGTATTTTCATCACATTGTTTTTGCCACATTATTTTAATTATAAATTACTAGAATATTAGAAATACCTACAGTATTTGAATGAAAACACATTCTGAAACAAAGCAAAAGCTTTATGTTAACTTCTGCAGCTTGTCACTGCTCTTCCTCAGTTATGTATACAACCTCTATAGCTATGGACTGGGTTCAAGTTTTGACTCCCTTATTAAACTAGGAGACATTGTACAATTTTATGCCATCTCTCAAAGCTTTGGTTTGCTCATCTGTAATTCTCATAGAATTATGAGGCTATTAGGTGAGATTATATAAAACAGCACATTATCTGCCACATAGTAAAACTGTAATAATACATGTTATTAGTTATAACATTGGTATATGACTGAACATGAAGCACAACAGAAGACAGCCTAGGGGTTAGTATCAATTATGGATTAATTATCAATCATTTTGTAATACTTTACTCTTGTAGCATAAAAGAGATGATTATGTTCCTATTGTTAAGTACTTGTCAGATCATCAATAGCGTTCTCTGCCACCGAGGTCCAAAACTATGAGTGTCTACTGGAAAACCTTAAAGCATCTTAAAAGGTTGGTGAGGGAAGGTTAAACTGGCAGGAATTCATTTAGAAAAGTTTTTGATGAAATCTCAAAGAAATGATTGCGAGCCAGTGAGATGGCCTCAGTGGGTACTGGTGCTTGCTGCTAGACTTGACTGATGACCTGGAGTTTCATCCTTGGGACCCACATGATGGTAGGAAAGCACCAACTCCCATAAATTGTCCTCTGACCTACACATGTGCCATGGCACACTCATACCTACACACATACACATGCACACACAATAAATTCATGTAATTTTAAAGACTGATAAAGACATGTTGCATTTTTGTTTTTGACTGGTTTAAATTTATTACAAAATTGTAGGACCCAATGGGATGATCACAACTTGGGGAGACTCTCTCTAGGCTTGAAGGAGAGCAATTGAAGACAGTATGAGAGAAAATGGCTTTAAGCTTCAGAAGAGAGGACTTAGGTGAGATAATTAGAAGAAAAACTTCTGACAATAAGGAGTGTTAAGCTTTGGGTCTTATTGGGTCTGATGAGATTTTCTTTCCTGGGAGGACATTAGCGGTAGATTAGATTTTTCTCTGCATGGGGTGGCTTAGATAAAGATATACCTGTAAATAGATGCCCTGATGCTTCTTTGCAGTTTAGGAGCCTAGAAAGGCTTTGACTCACCTAGGTTTAATTAGTCATAGCCTCAGTGGGTAACCATCCTGCTTGTATTTTCTTTCTACTTTTTTTTTTTTTTTTTTTTTTTTTTTTTTTTGTCTTTTTGAGACAGGGTCTCCCTGTAGCTCCAGTTGCCTGGAACTCACTCTGTAGACCAGGCCAGCCTTGAACTCACAGAGATCCGCCTGCCTCTGCCTCCTGAGTGCTGGGATTAAAGGTGTGCGCCACCATACCCGGCCTGCTTGTATTTTCTGATCTTTCTGGTAACTTAATGATTAATTGCTACACTGCCTAACAAGGAATTCACAATTTTTCTCCCAGTATTTAAAGAGAACAACACCCCCCCCCCCAATTTATTTAGTAATGGGAATGGTTCAAGCTTATTTACTTAATTTTAGTCATGTTTATTGAACTTTAATTTACTTTTTAAAATTTTATGAGTTTTGACACACATACAATTTTTTAACCGAGTAATCAGAAAGACCCATGTATTTATGTCTCAAGTGGGGAAGGAGAAATGCAACATGAAGTTAGAGAATAGCAAAAAGATGGTGACTTTGAGGGAATTTTTTTTTTTTTTTTTTTTTTTTTTTTTTTAAAAAGACAGGGTCTCCCTGTAGCCCCATATTCACTATGTAGACCAGGCTGTCCTTGAATTCACAGAGATCTGCCTGCTTCTGCCTCCCAAGTGCTGGTACTACAGGCATACACCACCACACTCAGCATTTGAGGGAATTTTTATGGGAACCAATGCCAGTTTGCTATCACAAGACCTGATTATTTGGCCCTCTCAAGTTGAGCAGATGGATTTACATTCTACCCCTAGTATAGTTAATATTCACCTGATCTGGTCTCTGATATTCTGTAGCATCAGGAGTGTCGAAAGATTGAAGTCAATTATAAATGATTTTAAGATTAAAAAGTGAGTGTAGCTCTGATTCATTTTTGCTCCAGTAGTAAAACATTCTAGAATTCTAAATCTAGATTACAGATTTTTTTCAGAACAATTTCATTTGATCCAGTCCTTTTGTTCCCATAAATAGTATATACTCAGACAACATGCTTTGATATTTGGTTTAGGAAAATGTCATCACTGTAATTTAAAGCAATGGGAGAAAACTGGCTGGTAGATGCTTCTCTTCAGCTTAGATTATTTCAAGTGCTGAACTGGGCATTTATAGAAGTAGGGAATTATGGTTGGGCTGTGCCTAAGTATTTCTGAGTCTGGTGTAGAGAAAATGAACTCCTATTTAATGCCTACTATGTATGTACTTGGCATTGTTAGGTGCTTTCCCTACAGACAGCTGCTTGGTTAGAATTCTAGCTCAGATCCAACCACTATTTAAATTAAAACAACAAAAAACACATATGTCTCATGGGCCTAGTTCATTAATAGCTGTCACAGCTGCCACACCCTTTATAAGACCCTGACACCATAATTAGGATAATTAAATCTCAGGGCTTGGATCTTTTAGGTTTTTGAGTTAATAGGGGCGACAGCTGTTCTCTTCACCACTAGTTTGAGAATCACAATACTCAGTTCTAACAGGAGGCGCAAAACGTGTGGGGCTGCTGCAATCCCATAAAAGAAAGGGCAAAGATACTCAAGTAGGAAGCTGGAAATACCTTCCTTCTCTGCAGGCCCGAAAGGGAGCGGGAACAATAAGACGTATTAAGGGCCTTCAGATACTGTGAAACCACAACGAAACCTCAACAGAAAAAAACTGGCAGAGGCATGAATTGTGAAAATCGAGGCCCTCTGAATTCAGGAGAGGCACACCAACGGGATCCTGACCCACACTGGTAAAACCCAGTCTCCGCTCTTCATCTCCCCAGCTCCCAAGGACTAGCTAGTCTCAGTCTTCCTCTTTGCCCTTTCTTTGGAAGCTGGGAAACTCCTTTTCCACGGCCGTCAGCGAAGGGCCTTAACGGCGAGTGAATGGTAGGAAGCAGGCGGAGGCTCTCAGCTGTCCGAGCTGTGGGAATTGCCGTTGTCCTGGAGCAAGGGGACTTGATTTCATACCCTCTCAAGGTCCCTTCGGTTCAAGGATACTGTCATTCTGGCTGCTTTAGGGGGAGGGCCTGCACCGTCCATGCTGCCATGGAAACGCGCCGCCGTGTTCCTTTTTCTTACGCGGGGGCGGGCACTCCACCTCAGCTGCCTGTCACCCACAGGATCTCTTGAGTGACTGGCAGTAGTAGCGAATGGGCGATCCGACCCTGCGTGACGTGACGGGAAAAGGGGGAGTTCGGGGCCGGTGGTGGCGGTGGCTACAGTGGCGACCTGGGGATCGACCTGGAGGGGCCTGGGGAGCGTGCAGAGACCTCTAGTTCCAGCGCGAGGGACCTCCCGCCGGGATGCCAGGTATCGCGGGGACCGAACCGGCCCGAGCCGGTTGTAGAGGCTCGGCTGTGGGTCCGGCAGGGCTGGCTGCCCGGAGGGGGCGGGGTGGCAAGCATGGCGGCGGCGGCGGCGGCGGCGGCGGCGGGGACAGGGTTGGCGGGTCTGAGGAGGGGGTGGGGAGGCGGCCGCGGCCCAGTGGTCGTGAGGACAGCCGGGCTGTGGGGCTTGTCGTGGGCCGCGATGCCAAGCGGCCTTCTCGGGGCGCCGGAGCCGCCGAAGGACGCGTGGAGAGTTGGGGGGGCGGTGGAAAAAGGGGCGGGGAGAAGAGGTTAGGAAGGAGGGAAAGGGTGTCTGCGGGAAGGTGCTGAGAAAGTGGGGAGGGGGGGCATAGGGAGGCTTGTAAATATCGAAGGAACGCTGGGTTGGGAGGTTGCGCAGGAAAGTACTTCATTGATTGCAAATACCTCTTACTCCAAGGAGCCTCGATTGGTCCCCTTCCCAGCTCTTAGACTTCCGCCCCATTATTAAGCTCAGATTGTGTGAGGAAGGCTCGTAGTGTTATTCTACAGACTGATCTTTTGTTATTCCATTCCAGGGGAGCAGATGGACCCTACTGGAAGTCAGTTGGATTCGGATTTCTCTCAGCAAGATACTCCTTGCCTGATAATTGAAGATTCTCAACCTGAAAGCCAAGTTCTGGAAGATGATTCTGGTTCTCACTTCAGTATGCTGTCTCGACACCTTCCCAATCTACAGATGCACAAAGAGAACCCTGTGTTGGTGAGTGATACCTTGATTGAAAGTGATTGAACAGAGGTGGGTTTTAATTTTTTCACCCCCTAATCCAGACTAACCAGAAAGCTTAAGTATTTAGGCAATCATTATCTTTTGGACAAATTGGGAAAAATAAAATCAACATGTTGACATATGCAGTAATAAGTCTTATTTTGGATTATTTCACATACTGTGAGAATATTCTATATGTGTGTTTTCTAGGATAGTGTATCTAATACTGAACAAACAGCTTCAGAAGTGCAAGGAGACAGTAATAGTGGGTGCAATGAACATTTGAAAGAAGACAAAGCTGCAGGTGAGCAGTTCAAAGCTATCACACCCCTTTGCATTTTTTAAGGTACTGTTGTATCAGGTGGATTTGAATACACAGCTGTGATGAATATATGTAAGGAAGCATACTGTAGTGCACTATCTGATATATAGTAAGCATTCAAAAATTCATGATGTTCTAATGTGTCAGTTTAGATTGGTGTTGCTTGTATTCTTGAATCTGCATTAAAGTTCTGTGACAAATGCCTTTTGTGCTAATATCAAATTTTTTTTCCCCCCAGACCCTGTGGAATCTTCTGATTTGCATACGTGTGGTTCCGTGAGTCAGGTCATAGAACAGTTACCTCAGCCAAACAGAATAAGCAGGTATACTAGAGTTTGAAGGAATTGATTTAAATTTATTAATGGATCAACTCCTCTCTTTACCAGTTGCCTAAAGATAGATTATTCTAAAGATAAGAGATTAATCATCTTTTTTTTGAATTAGGGAATGGGGCTCGAGAATTATGTAGATAGCATTGTTTTAGGACTGAAAGCTGGGATCTCTTTTGAGGAGATAATATTTTTTGTAACTATAATATTCAAGTCATAATCTTTATCTTAAACTGTTTCAGTTTGACTGTGGCCTGTGTATATCATGCCTGTCCATTTTTTGAGTTCATCCTCTGTGTTAGGCCTGATACTGGTATTTGACATAATCTCATTTAATTCTATCCTTAAAGCAGTCATGCAATGAAAACATTTCCGTTACACAGAAGGGGAAAAGAATGCGCAGAGAATTTGCTGTTGTTGGACAACTGTGGCCAGGGGTTCTCTGTTATTTGCCATGGTTCTTGTTCCTATGCCCAGCTGCTTCACTCATCTGTTTTTTTTTTTGGTCTTTTTGAGACAGGGTCTCCTTGTAGCCCCACCTGTCCTGGAACTCACTATGTAGACCAGGCTGGCCTTGAACTCACAAAGATCCACCTGCCTCTGCCTCCCAAGTGTTGGCTTTTTTTTTTTTTTTTTTTTTTTAAAGCGTATGAATGCATTGCTTGCTTGTACATAAGTGCACTTGTGTCATGCAGTGCCCTCAGAGGTCAAAAGAGGGCGTTGGATCCCCTGGAACTGGAGTTAGGATGGTTGTTAGTTGCCATATGGGTACTGGGAATCAAACCCAGGTCCTCTGCAAGAGCACCCAGTGCTCTTAACTGCTGAGCCATCTCTCCAGTCCCATTTGGTTTTGTTTTTAGAGACAGTCTCACTCTGTAGACCAGGTTGTTCTGGAACTCACTGGAACTCATAATCCAGGCTGTCCTTGGATCATGGTGATCCTCCTGTCTCAACTAGAGGAGTGAGCCACTATGCCTGGTGCCACTTGACTGTGTTATCTTGCTTTGGTTTTGCCATTAAAGAATATGTATGTACCTGGCTTATCACATTCTGGTTTGCAGGGTGGGGACAAGTAGTAGACATATCCTATTGTAAACACAACAGTACTGTTTGGGAAGTTCCTACTGCTTTTCTTGGTTTTTTTTTTTTTTTTTTGGTCTTAGAAAAGAGTATTTGCTTTTTTTTTTTTTTTCGTCTTTTTGAGACAGGGTCTCCCTGTAGCCCCAGCTTTCCTGGAACTCACTATGTAGACCAGGCTGGCCTCGAACTCACAGAGATACGCCTGCCTTTGCCTCCCAAGTGCTGGGACTACAGGCGTGCACCACCACGCCCAGCTTGGACTGTTGTTTTGACAGGGTCTCCTTAGTCACAGCCCACCTGGAAGTCATGATGGGAGACAGGTGGCCTCTATATCACAGATCCACCTGCCTCTGCCTCCCAAGGGCTGGAATTAAAGGCACAGGCCACCACACCCGGCTCTTTTCCTTTTTTGAATCAATGTGTAGTTCTTGCTCTTTCACTAAAAACAGATTTTATTTATTTATTTTTTTTGCTCTTTTTGAGATAGGGTTTTCCTGTAGCTTCAAGCTGGCCTGGAACTCGCTATGTAGGCCAGGCTGGCCCTGAAATCACAGAGATCCTCCTGCCTCTGGCTCCCAGGGCTGGGATGAAATGCATGTGCCACCACACCCAGCTCTAAAAACAGATTTATAGTCATGTTCAATAAATGTGCAGGCACTATGGCATGCACTTTAAAGGGGCTTTGTTATCACGGAGCTTATAATTAGTAGGGGAGACCTAGTCTTTATATCAGTTCTTAGTTACAATTATGATCATTACAAAAAGGAAAAAATACAAGTAACCCAATCTGGGGAATAGAGAAACACTTCTTTGAGGAATGCAATCTAAACAATAAACATAAATTAGTCATAGTTGACTAGCTGAGGACAAGCTGCAGTATGAGAGGAGGCACTTTCCAGATATTAACTGCATATGCAAAGGTCATGAAACTGGAAAGAATCTGAGTTTGAGTCCAAGAGATTGGGAGTTCTTCAAAATACACACGCGCGCGCACACACACACACACACACACCCCCATAAGTATAAATGCCCTTAAAAATCTTTATAAGCTGGGTGTGGTGGCACACACCTATAATCCCAGCACTTGGGAGGCAGAGGCAGGTGGATCTCTGTGAGTTCAAGGCCAGCCTGGTCTACATAGTGAGTTCCAGGACAGCTGGGGCTACAGAGAGACCCTGTCTCAAAAAGACAAAAAAAAAAAATTATTTTTTTAAAATTGAAATTTTTTCTATGTCATAAAGCACCAAAGAAATCTTCATTTCTTATCTAGTGTCCTAATTATATAAACTAATGTTCCTAAATAGGGAATGTCTTGTAATATGGAGGAATATACATATATAGATTTACATTTTCTCATCAATTTTTTTTTTTTTTAATATTGTGTGTGCATGGGCGGAAGAGGGTACATGTGTGCCTTGGAGATCAGATAACTTTTGGAAATTGGTTGTCTCCATCATGTGGGTTCTGGTGATCAACATTCAGGTCCACAGGTTGGCAACAAGCGCCTTTACACTCTGAGCATCTCGCTGGCCCAAAATACTGTAGTTTTTTAAATTGATTTTTACATATTTATTTTCATGTGATACTGGGGATTGAATTTATGTATTTTGTGTTAGGGAAGCTCTACTACTGAGCCACATTTGAAGCCCCCATTAAACATATTTAAGTTTAAATATAAACTCACATGCTATTGCAAGAAATAATGCAGAGAGCTGAATGTGGTAGCTCAGGCCTGTAATCTTAGTACTTGGGAGACTAAGGCAGGAGGATCACTGTGTGTTTTGAGGCCAGCTTGGACTACATGGTGAGGTCAAGACTAACCTAGGTTACATAGTGAAACCCTCTTAAAAAACAAACAAAAAGAATGCAGAGAGATGCTGCCTAGTAGTTGCCCAGTGTCTTCCAGTAGTAACATTCTACAAAACTATAATATCACAACAGAATACTGATATTGATAAAAGTTCACAGAAACCATTCAGATTTCCTGTTCCATTGTGGGTGGGTATATTGTATTTTATTGTCTAATCACTTGTGAGAGTTTGTGTATCTACCATTACAACCAGGAGACTGAATAGTTCTGGCACCATAAGGATGCCTAATACTGCCTTCTGCAGCCGTACTTCCTGCTGTGGGGCTTGGACCTTTAGCAATCATGAGTCTATGGTCCATTAGTAAAATTTTATTTCAAAATGTTATAGAAAAAAAGCCCATCCCACAGAGTTTATATATCAGCATAACTTCATTGAAGTGTTTCCATGTATCAGTTTCTTCATTCCTGTTTCTGAATAGTCTTTTATAGAATATTAGCTATACCACTGTTCATAGACTGCAATATATCTTATTTCCAATTTTCGACTGTTGTGAATAAAACTACTATAAATGCTTGGGTAAATTTTTTACTACATTTATTTAAATTGTGTGCATGCGCACTTGTGTGTACACCAGTGCACATATGTGCATGTGGCGATCAGAGGAAAACTTTGGGGAGCTGATTTTTTTCCTTCTATCTACCATGTGGACCCTGAGAATCAAATTCAAATTGTCAGGCTTGGCCTTTACCTGAGCAGTCCTCTGTGTGTGTGTACTTTTGAGACAGGTTCTTATTATATAGTCCTGGTTGACCTAGAACTTGCTATTTAGACCAAGTTGGCCTTAAACTCAGAGCTCTGCCTGTCTCTGCCTCCTGAGTACTAGAATTACAGGCATATGCCACTATGCCTGGCTCCTTGTGCAAACTGCATGCTGGGCAAGCACTCTACAATTCCAGCCCTCTTCACTATTTTTTATTTTAGCCATTCTGTTAAATGTATAGTTATAGCTCATTGTAGTTTGGATTTACCTTTTCCTAATGGCAAATGATAGTGAATATCTTATGTTCTTGTTTGCCATCTGTCTTCAGGGAAATGTCATTTATGTCTCTTTCCCATTTTTAAATTGGATTATTTTTCACTTTTTTTCCCTCCTCTTCCAAGAATTGAACCCAGGACTTTGTGCATGCTAGACAAGTGCTCTACTGCTGAGCTGCATCCTCAGCCCTGTTATATTTTGAGAGTTCTTTATATAGTCTGGATATAGTCTTTTGTAGGATATATGGTTTGTAAATATTTTGTCTTTTCATCATTTTCAAAGGTTTTTTACAGAGCAAGTTTTTAGTTTGTTTTGACACACGGTCCCCCTGTAGCCCTAGTTGGCCTGGAACTTACTATGTAGACCAGACTGGCCTCGATCTCACATTCTGCCTGCCTCTGCCTCCCAAATGCTAGAATTAAAGGCATTTGCCACCATGCCCAGTACAGAGCAGGTTTTTAATTTTAATCAAAATTTAAGTATTTTTCAGTAGGATAATATACTTGGTTTATTTCCAGAAGTGGCTGATCTAGGGTAGAAGTAGATGAGGATTGGTGAGATTCTGAGATTTGAAAATAGGATTCGGGGCTGGAGAGATGGCTCAGCGGTTAAGAACACTGTTCTTGCAGAAGACCTGGGTTCGAATCCCAGCACCCACATGGCAGCTAACAGCTGTCCGTAACTCCAGTTCCAGGGGATCTGACAGCCTCTTCTGTCTTCCACAGGCATTGCACAACATGGGTGCACTTGTCTACATGCAGGCAATACACACATACATATAAAAGTAAAAAAAAGATTTAAAGAGGGATCAGATGTGGAGCATAGGCAGGAAGGAGGGTATAAAAATTCCAGTTTTGTGGATTGAGCAGCTAGAAGATTGGAGTGGTTATTGAGAGGATAAGATTATAGGAGAAGCTATGTAGTTTTAGGTATGTTGAAACTGAGCTGCATCTTAGCTGTTGGAGATGTTGAGTAGACAGTTTGGTATGCATGTCTGGAGCTCAGTGAAGAGTCTTGATGTAGAGCTACACTGCAGAGTCACATGGGTGGTACTATATTCAAAACTC